CTGGGACGAACAGGGTGTAGGAGGTTTGGGTGAAGGCGGGGGCGTTGTCATTGACGTCGGAGACCAGCACGGTTATGCTGTGCTCAGTTTTTAGCCTGGGTGTCCCCAAGTCCATGACGGTGATGGTGATGTTGTACTGAGCTCTCATCTCTCTGTTCAGCGACCCTTCTGTTACCAAGGTATAGAAATTTTCTACGGTAGGTTTTAGAAGGAAGGGGACATGGTCTTGGATGGAACATATCATTTTTCCATTGTCCCCAGAGTCTGGATCTGAAATTCTGAAAATAGCAACCACAGTTTCTGGGGAGTTTTCCGGGATATCACCGATGAGTAAAGACATGGTCAGTTCAGGGGCGTTGTCGTTCACATCCATCACTTCTATGGCTACGGTGCATTTTCCTGAAAGACCCCCACCGTCTGAGGCCTCGATTTCCATACGGTAAGATTGAATTTCCTCAAAATCCAACACTTTTTTTAATCTAATTTCTCCCGTGACTGTGTTTATTTCAAAGGCCTGAATGACTTGATTTGAGGATTGGAAAAATGAGTAGGAGAGCTCCCCGTGGGTCCCAGCATCTAAATCTCTAGCAGAGACAGTGATGACAGGGGAACCTATAGGGCTGTTCTCCGGAACCTGCACTTCATAGAGCCTCTGAGGAAATTCAGGGGCGTTGTCATTAATGTCCAGGATCACGATGACAACCTGGGAAGTCCCAGTCCTGGGCGGTGACCCACCGTCCATGGCAGTGAGGGTTAACCTGATCTCAGGCTGCTCCTCTCGGTCCAGGGCTTTGTCCAGCACCAGCTCTGGGTATTTCCTGCCATCGCTGTGATTGCGGGTGAAAAGGTGGAAATGGGAGTTGGTGCTAATTATATAGTTCTGAACGGTGTTGCTACCTACATCCAAATCTTGAGCTATATTCAAAGGATACGGAGTCCCTGGATGGCTGCTTTCAGGGATTTTTAGGAGAATTTCATTTTCCAAGAATTCTGGGGCATGGTCATTTACATCTTGGACCTGTAGTTCACCTTGAATAAGCTGCACTGGAGTTTTCAGTAATACCTGGAAATGCAATATACATGGATCCGTGTCACCGCACAACTCCTCCCGATCCAATCTTTCTTTTAGGAGCAAATTCCCACTCTTCTGTTCGAGTTGCAAATGCTGTCTGTTCCCTTTGGAAAGAATCCGGGCTCCCCGCGCAGCCAGCTCCCCTACACTTAGCCCCAGATCTTTTGCTAGGTTGGCCACAAAAAAGCCGCTGTCTCTCTCTTCTAGAAGGGAATATTTAATGGTAGCACTGCCCGCCTCCCACAACAGTAATAGGAAAATAATGGCGGTCACTTGCCTTTTCGCCAGCGCTTTGGGAAGCGGCATCTCCATCGTTCCTCCAGGTCCAAAAGATGCAGTATTTAATCACAAAATAATTTCTTAACAGCCAACTGAGCTATCTTGGTTTAAATATCTTGAGTTACTTCTTTTTAACATTGACTGACATGGGTGGTCTGCCTCTCTCAAACCTTCTTTCCCCAGTAGTGAAAAATATTTCCTTTTCGAGCTGCCAGAAACTGCAAGGCTTTTAAGAAGTCACTTGGTCTGCCGTTTTCACTCTCTTAGCCTGCAGCGCCACCAAGCGTTCTGCCTTACAACTTCAGATAATTTTCATTTCAAAGCGCATTGTTAATAGCTAAAACATAAGCCATGCTTTTTAGATCTTACCCTGTTATATACTCCCTCTTCCCCCACCTATTACACAGTCTTGTTTGGACATCTAACAACAGTTGTGACAGCAAAATTAGTGTCTCTATCTATATTCATCTTCCTTATAAAGGTACAAGTTCAGTGTACAAAACTGCTCTGCTCAAGACAAATTCATTTGTTCATTTAACAAGTATTTATCTGTATGGGCATTCATCTAATTTCTTGAGATAATACAATAAATAAAACACAAAAAAATTCTTGCTCTTGGGTTTATATTCTGTTACAAAAATACTAATTCGTTCTATTGTTTTAAAAGAAATTATGATTTTTTAACATCCAGTTTCTATTCCCAAATTGTAATATGTCTGTAACTCCTGAAAGAAAACAAAAATCTTATTTTTTGTCAGTCTCTGGTCTACATAGCCTTTGGAAATTATTTTCCTTCATAAATTAAGTTTGTGTAATGTCCAGTGAAGTTGAGAGGAAATGGCCATTTGTTTTATTAAAAATCAGTATACGCTCAGAATTTAGGCCATGCCTTTTCTACAAACGTGAAGAAGAAAATAAATTCAATGAAGTAAAAAAATACTTTCTGGGGAAGGGTTTTGACCTGTCTGCTTCAGAAAGGAACCCATCCTGGTGTACATCCTCTGGGACTGTGGAGATGGGGATATTGAAAAACACTGCTGCTCCAACTTAAGTCATGTGACTGGAGTGAGAATAGTGAAAAAAGCAAATCCCTCCAAAGAAGAA